TATTTCATATGATTTCCATCAACTCATTACAGAGCCAACTAGAATAACTGCCTTATCACAAACGATAATTGACTTAATTTTTACCAGTGCAAATGAAAGAGTTGTAAACTCGGGTGTTATTGATAGTTTTGGCATATCTGATCACAAAGCAATCTACTGTGAGCTCTCACACCGAACATCGCGTCCTAAGCCGTTCATATTAAAATACAGAGATTACAGAAATTTTTCGTATGATGCTTTCAATTCAGACTTAGTAAATTTACCTTGGAATGATATTTTCTATATAAATAATCTCGATGATAAAGTAGCGCTGTTTAATAATCTAATAGTCGATCTTTTTGACAGACATGCCCCTGTTAGAACCTCTCGCATAACAAAACCTTTTGCTCCGTGGGTTACCCCTAACCTCAAAGCTATGATGAAAAAAGGGATCAAGCTTTGCAAAAGTATAAAAAATCCGGTAAACTGTCGGACTTTGCTATATATAAAGAATTACGCAATTCTGTGTGCTCTGCTTTGAGACATGAAAAAGCTGTATTTTTGTCATCAACACTAAACTGTCGTAACTATAGGGATCTCTGGCAAGCAGTCAATCGCCTCAATATCAAAAGAAAACATAATACAGATATACCTCTACACCTTAAAGAACCCTTTGAAATTAATAGTCATTTTCTTTCAGTCTTTAGTCCATCAAATAGCTGTCCTGAAGCTACTGCATTTTATAATTCAGCCAAATTTTCTAATATTTCTTTTTCTATTAATTTTGCTAATGTGGATGAAGTAAAAAAACTGGTTCTTGATCTAACGTCTAGCGCATATGGTGTGGACGAAATTAGTGCAAAAATGCTACAATACTCTATTTCTGTAACTGCCCCACACATAACTCATATTATAAATTGCTGCATAGAGGTTGGTTATTATCCTAGTTTATGGAAATATGCTCTTATAAAACCTTTGCCCAAAATACGCATACCGTCTGTATATAATGACTTAAGACCAATTAGTATACTGCCTGCTCTGTCTAAAGTACTGGAGAAGGTGATCTATTTACAGTTATACGAATTTGTGATTTCTAACCAAATTATACCTGAATCACAGTCTGGATTCAGAAGGGGCTATAGCACAACTTCGCTCCTTTTAAATGTATCAGATGATATTATTAGATCTCTCGACGCTGGCCTTGCTACAGCTCTTGTATTTCTTGATTTTTCGAAGGCGTTTGATACGATTGATCACTGTTTACTTCTTGCAAAGTTACGATATTATGGTATAAATCAATTGGGCTGCCGACTTTTCAAATCTTACCTTCAGGGCCGTTACCAATGTGTTGTGGTTGATAATAGCTCGTATTCTGACTTCCAGCCTGTGACTTCTGGAGTCCCTCAAGGCTCCATATTAGGACCTTTGCTATTTATTATATATACGTCTGATATTTTTAAAACTATCACTTATTGCAAGATACAAGGTTATGCTGATGACACACAATTATACCTGTCGTTCGATCCTAGATTTATAAATACCGCATCTGCTTATATTAATCAAGATTTAGAAAATATTCAAAAATATTCATTTAATCACAACTTAAACCTCAATCCAGATAAATGTCAAGTTGTTATCTTCTCTCCGCCATGTTATGAAATTTTTATGCAGCATATTGACTTAACATTAAATGGAAAATCAGTCTCAGTAGTTAATAGTGCAAAGAATCTTGGTGTTATTTTCGACTGTAAGCTCAGATTTGAAGAGTACGTCTCACTATTAGTGAAAAAGACTTACCTAGTTTTAAGGCTACTGTATCGAAATGTTGGTATTTTAAATTTTAAATTACGTAAAAAGCTCTCAGAGAGCCTAGTATTACCTATTTTAAATCATGCAATCACGCTTTATTATCCCTTCTTAACGTCTATTTTGAAATACAGACTTCAAAAGGTACAAAATTGCTGTTGTAGATTTGTTTTTAGGCTCAAAAAGTTTGATCGAATCTCAGCTAAAATAAATGAGTTAAAATGGTTAAAACTGGAATATACTCATAAATATTATACTTCTATTTTAGTTCACCGTATTTTATCATCACAGAGCCCTGCTTACCTGAAAAGAAAATTAGTCTTTAGGCGTGATTTGCATGATTTAAATACGAGGTTCACTAATAAACTTTCTCTTCCTAAGTTTCGTTTATCTTTATTTAGAAAATCTTTTTCATATAATGCTGTTACTATATACAATAGTATCGATGACGCACTTAAGTTTAGTTCTGTACCGATGTTTAAAGTCCTGGTAAGGCAATTTTATCACAATAGTCAATGTAATGGATAGTTCAATAGTTTTTGATTATATACTATTCGCTTTGCGGTTTTGTGTCTTAGGCTTTTGTTTATTTTCATTCAAATTATCTCATATTTTCTATGCTATTTTGTATTTGATCACTGCTGATGATTGCATTTTATGTATTATACGTGTCTTTCTTCATTGTTAGCTTTTATTTAGGGTTAAGTAGAGTAGCTTAGGCTAGACTTCGCCCTGTTGCAGATTTCTGTATTGTATATAACAATACTCAATAAAGACATAATAATAATAATAATAATAATAAAACGGATATTATCAATCAATTCCTGATGATACTAAATTAAAAAGACATAGTTGGAACTATTTCGTTCGTATCTGTCAAATAGGAAGCAGTATGTAAGCTCTGAGGGCACCGCCTCTGATCTTTTGTCTATTTGCAGCGGGATACCGCAGAAATCAGTACTTGGCCCTCTGCTAATCCTAAGGTATATCAATGACCTGCTCTCAAGTATTGATAATGGATCCTGCTTCCTATTTTCAGTCGATATCACCTTGCTGTCTAGACCTGACCAGAACACGGGTGTGGATAGTCTGCTACAAGCCAAAAAATGTTTTTTAGCTAACAAGCTATCTCTGTATGAAGACAAGACCCAATCTATCACATTTTCCTCTAATAGGCGGGTTGTAAAATCTGAACCAGTAAAACTTCCAGGAATTTTACTCGATACAAGGCTAAACGTACGACATGGATTATTTACATTATAGACTGTCTACACAATTTTCAGGCAGCTTAGTTAGATGCCTCGATAACCGTACTTTACAGGTAGTGTACTTCAGCATGCTCCATAGGCACATTGCATATATAACACAATGCTCCGAGGAAACTCATTAGCCTCTAGCAAAATTTTCATATTACAAAAAACTACTTCGAGGATAATTACAAATTCCAGTTATGGATCAATGTGCAAAGATCACTTAAAAGATCTAAAAATATTACCTCTTCCATCATTTTATATTTATAGTTAGTCCTATATGGTATGTGCGCAGCAACTATACAAATATCAAACCACTGCAGAAATTCACATCCATGCACTACGTAATGTTAACTACCTAAGGAATCCATACTTGTGACTTTTGCCTTCACAATTAATTTGGAAAATACCACTTAAATACCTATCTATTAAATACCTTGTGGGACACCACTCTTGATATACGTTTCCTTGCTAAATGACCTGGATATCTGCACAGATTGTCAGCTGTTTGATAGCTAATTTTCGATCAGTAAGTACGCTTTTTCTCTAAAACCAATTCTGTACCATGTTTCTAATAACATATGATATACTGTTACAAAAGCTATCTTTAAATCAACAAAAACGCAAATAGAAGGAATTTTGTTATCGACATTTCAATGAACTTGACTTACAGTTTTAATTGTTACCTTCTGTTATATTGATTTTCACTTAAGATATGATATTTTGTGGGGTATTGAACCATTCTATTAAATAAAACTTTTTCAGCAACTGTTGCTATACTAAATATTATTGACATCGCTTGATAATTATTAACATCTGTTTTTTCCTGATTTATGTATCGGTATTATATTACCTTTAAAAGAGTGGTTCTGTTATGTCCTCAGCCAAAATTTTTAAATACTAGCCTTGAATTCCGTAAAGAACATAATTTTGAAAACTTTGGAAAATTTGTTGAAAGAACATTGCGTAACCACTGTTTCTATTCAGCTGATGGGTACGTTGATGCTATGACAGATAATAAAATGGTTTGTAAGACCTCACATGTACATTATATATACATAATGTAGTCATTAAACTGTTTGGGGTTAGAGGGGCGTCAAAAATGGATTGAAGGTTTTAGCGCCATCTAAGACGCAGTAACAGAACCTAACACGCTAACTCTTTTCAAAGTGCATTTTAGATTCATTTTACTTCCCACACCTATTGGCGGGGAAGTATTGTGATCGCAATAATTTTCGAAAATGTTGTATGTTTTATGTATGTTATATGACACATACATCACGAAAAACTATGTCACTCATTTCCGTCAGTCTAGGTGTCTGTCGGTCTGTCCGCTAATCTTATAACTGTAACTTGAGAAGAATTTCCATAAAATTTTTACACAATCTTAATATTATGACAAGGCGGGAGAGAAAGAGGCCAAAAACAAAACAAAAAAATAAGAAATGCTCAAACTTTGACGTTTCAGACGATCCTGATCAGTTTTGGGAACTAAAAATTAAAGGTTAGGCGTTACAAGCGGTGGGGAGGGTATATCTTATTTTTTTTACTCTGGCTTATTTACATGTCTCCAACCCCAGTAATTCTACCGCGCATATTAGGCATATTTCACTCATCATATATGTCCCCGTACAGTTAGCCCTTAAACTTCTGAATATCTCCTAAGTCGGGTTTCGATTCGTGCGACGCCGTCGCCCGATGGACAAGCATTGTCGTCGATGGTCGTACGTCACAGTCGGCAATCACTCCCACGCTACTGTGGGCTGCGTGCGCTGTGCGTGCTGAAGGCCAATATTGTCAGTCACGCGGGTTTGGTCATCGCAACGGTCATGCGCACCTCAAAAATTCCTCTCAGCGGGAGAAGGAAGGTCATTTAATTTTTTGTTATATATGTTCGTGACAAACTTTTTTCTCTTTTTGTGCCAAACAATCCTTTACTAACTGATGACAGCGTAGCGTGGGAAGTACAAAGTCAACTAACTTGAAGCCATTTTTTGTATGCCGGAATACAGTATATAGTTAGGTAGAATACGTTGATCTAATTTTAGGATGTACACAAGAGTTCAATTGTCTTTGGCTATTTCAGGTCCCCCGGATCCTCCAAGCGGCACACCCTGCATCTCGGTGGACTCGCCCACGTCGGTACGAGTCACGTGGAGCAGCAGCCCTTACGACGGTGGCCGGTGTGTGGAAGGCTACATCGTAGAGTACTCTTTGGTGGGCAGCGGCGTCTGGGCGGCCGCTTGCAGGCAGTGCCACTCGCTGCGGCACCTGGTCACCGGGCTGACTCCTGGGGGCCGGTACGTATTCAGGGTCACGGCTGTGAATACGCACGGATCCAGCAGGCCAGGCATAGAGAGCGAAGTTGTACAAATGCAGGAGAACGGTAGGTATCGTACTGAACATCTTCAGCTTTGACTTCCCATGCCAAAACTGCCGAGAAAGTTTTGCTACGGCAAAAAAAATTCGAAACTAAGATATTATGTCTTTTGGATATTATACACCTTGGGAAAAAACATTATTATACATTATGATGAGGAAGAGAGATAGAAATATACAAAAGTATGTAGGTGCGTGAAAGACACTCGATTGTAGGATCCTATCTGGCAGCGTCGGAGTGTGACGGACAACGGGGTAAAGTAGAAGAGTGATAAAAGAGAGAGATGGCAGAACGGGCGCTGGCGCCTACCGCTTAGACGGATGCGCTCAACAAATGCGATTTGTTTCTCCCATTCGCAGAGTTGCCGATACCAATATGTCATATTTCTAAGAAATCTAAGTCTACCCAAATTTCGGGAAAAATAGCTGCGGATTCCACATAAGAGTATTCCAAAAATGAAAAAAGTTCAAACTATTAAAATTGTATTAATGTTTCATGGTTCAAATCATATTTTTCATGTTTGTATATTGTTGTATAAATGATTTTGTAATCCCTATTCTTGTTGCCCTTGAGATACAACAGTATTGAGAGAAATCATGGACCGCTAGATAGGGCTACAACTACCATATGACTATCAAATAGTAGTGATAAACAGGGTTTCTTTATAGCACAGTTGCCTGGTGTGGCGAATTTGCGCCATAGGGGCGATTTGACAACTTTGAAGTACAACTATAACGGTTACTATGATGCCCGGTATTCGGGAATCTGGCAATACCTGATGATTCCTAACGTTTATTACGCCAGATTGTTTGCTGACTTGTGCAGTACAACATGACAATTAACGTGACTGAGCACCTGGTAACCCTGGTTTAAGGTGTTATATTTAAAGAGCTTGGGGCAGTTAGGCATCTAGGTCACATTTTTTAATGTATTTCGAGAAATCCGTAATGTTGAGTAAATACTAGATCACGTTTCTTGCTTAGTTTGCTGAAAATTCTACAAGAGACGTACATTCTGAGAAACAGAGATTTGGTGACGACAAAATTGTAAAAATATAACGCATTTTCGTAAAATAATTTCTTTGTTGAAAAGACTGTGGCTTGATGACCCATTGAACGAGTATAGTGTACCGCTCCGCTTTGAATATTCGAAACACTATACTCCAGCAGCATTCAGCTTCAATGTTATCTTTATGAAGTTCTAACGTCTAGGCCATACTGATTAAAAGCTTGTATGAATCAACACTTAACTCTAAATTCCCTACAATTCGGGAAGCTCTACTCAAATTGGCGACACAGCGTATCTGCCTATTATTCTCATTCGTGATACAGGTCTGCGGTTAACGGTAGGAAATATGTACGAATAGCGATGAAAGTAGACGAGCCGATGCGCTGTTGCCAAGAAATGATTTCCCATGTATAACAATGGTTTTTCCTAAGGTGTATGACATGTACATCACAAAAAATCATGTCACTCATTTCCGCCTGTCTGTCGGGTCTGACCGCTAATTCAATAACTTGAGAAGTACCGCTCGGATTTTTATGAAATTTTCACACATGGTTACTATTATGGCAAGGATGGAACAACTTTGTAGTTTTTGAAAATCGGTCTAGTGGTGGCGGAGATGGGAGCAGAAGCACAAAAAAGCACTTAAATTTCTTTTTTCTCACGTTTCAGATCACTTTCTAAAAATGTTTTGTAGTGTTTGAAACTTGAGGAGCTTGGTGATTGTAGGGGGTAAGGGGTTATAAATGTAATGTTTTTAGTATTAGTCAAATACATTCTATCATTAAGAAGCTTCTGATCCCGGTGACAACAGAAAAATTAAATGATAAAATTCCGCGCGATATAATGTGCTCATAATTCGAAATAACTGCAATAGTGAGTATTGCGTGTACGGCACGATGCTGCAACTCCAACTGGTCTGCGCTGGTGTCGTCACTGACAAACCGTCAAAAAATGACATCAGTCACACCTCCCGCAGATTCGGCCCATTTAGAGAGAAATGGCGAAGTCGAAGGCGTGCCAGCAGGTGAACGGCCAGAGGTGTTGCCAAACTGCTAGAAAATAATAAAACTTTCCACAAATGTAGTAAGCATGCTATCGTACCCTGAAATTTTCCCAAGTATAATACAATCCTACCTGTATTTCCAAATTAATTACTACAAAGAGCAATTGTGTTATAGTTGTGAATTGTTTTGAACCATCTCTCCAATAAAAGTATCAAAATTACCGCAAAGTAAATCAAATAAATTTGAATGTGCTTACACCTGTAGGTGTTTTTGACTAGCCGATGCGCGGCGACTTTCAGCGTTGCCCGCCACAATTAAGATAATGAACATATTGAACCAACTTTTTCCAATAATCGCGAATCAGTTGTAGGAGAATTCGACTGTGTTTTTATTGTTGTTTTAAAGAATTGGTTCAACAAGATAGTTGTTGTGCGAATAAGTCCAAACTAATAATATCTGCATAAACGGCTTTCTATAGTATCTCACGTATGGTTGATACAAATACGGTTTGGATCGAGGAAAACTCGTAGGGAAAAGATACTGTGTACGTCTTAAGCCTTATCTTTGTTAGTGAATTTAAAATTCGCATTAATGCTTTGGAGGATATGTAAATTAATATAGAAAGAAAACAAATCAGGAATCCTGTTCAGAAAACTTCAATTAATCTATGTAAAATTGTTAATTTGAATGTGCTTACACCTGTAGGTGTTTTTGACTAGCCGATGCGCGGCGACTTTCAGCGTTGCCCGCCACAATTAAGATAATGAACATATTGAACCAACTTTTTCCAATAATCGCGAATCAGTTGTAGGAGAATTCGACTGTGTTTTTATTGTTGTTTTAAAGAATTGGTTCAACAAGATAGTTGTTGTGCGAATAAGTCCAAACTAATAATATCTGCATAAACGGCTTTCTATAGTATCTCACGTATGGTTGATACAAATACGGTTTGGATCGAGGAAAACTCGTAGGGAAAAGATACTGTGTACGTCTTAAGCCTTATCTTTGTTAGTGAATTTAAAATTCGCATTAATGCTTTGGAGGATATGTAAATTAATATAGAAAGAAAACAAATCAGGAATCCTGTTCAGAAAACTTCAATTAATCTATGTAAAATTGTTAATTGACAAACGCAATCACTGTAAGGTGTGTTAGTATCATGAAGAATCTTCAGATTGTGAGATCTTGCAAAGTTGCTCTGTTTAGCCTATATCATATTTTTGTATAAAATGAATAATTTGCTATATGTATGCTCTCCAGCTCGGAGGTGCCGGCAAAGTGAATAGCTTGTATGCCTGTTTATTGTTGGCTATACTTATATTTGATACAAGTAACCGAATATTTTGTTCATTTTTTAAACGAAAGAAGATCGTTTCACGTTCCTGTAATAACAGCATATGTCGTAAGAGTAATCCACAGCCTTTTCGAAATAGCGACGTTGCTTTACACCGAGGTTAGCTCTGTGATATTGTGGTGCAAACGATGCGGCAGACAATAACCCTGTATCTTTTTCAGATGAATCCAGTTCGTTCGAGCCGAAAGTGGTGCACATAGAGCCGGGACCAGAATTCGTCACGCGTTATGACATATTGGAGGAGTTGGGAAAAGGAAGGTTCGGAGTTGTGCATAAAGTTATAGAGAAACGATCGGGTCAAAAATTCGCAGCCAAATTCGTACGATGTAGGACAACAAAAGATAGAGATAAGGTAAGGAATAATTATAGGGACACATCTTACGAAAGAAATTATAATAGAAATTGAAGTGTTTGATCTATTTTACTTCCTATGCCAAAACTTGTGAGGCAGTATTGTAATTGCGAAAAAAATTCGAAACTGATTCATCATGTTTCTTGGATGTTATATGATAACATCACGAAAACTCATATCACTCATTTCCGTCGGTCTGTATGTCTGTCGGTCTGTCCGTTAATTTTATAACCACCTATAACTTGAGAAGTACCGCTCGGATTTTGATGAAATATTCAAAGAACTTTGTAGTTTTTGAAAATCGGTCTAGTGGTGGCGGAGCTAGAGACAAAAGCACGAAGAAATTAAAAATCGCTCAAACTTCGTTTTCGATGTTTCAGAAACTCCTGATCATTTTCAGAAAAAGTTTTGTAAGGATTGAAACTTGAGGGCTGGGAGTTGAAGGGGATAGATGCTGTGAATATAACATCTTTAGTATTAGTTAAAGACATTCTATCATTAAGAAGTTTCTGATCCCGATAGCAACGGAAAAATCAAATGATTTAAAGTCCGATGTCTAATGTGCTCATAATCCACATTAGTATTAAATATTTATCAAGTACTTTAAAAAAATGTTTGTTAAATATTTATAGTGACAGATTTTTTTCATATTTAATAAATAAGTTTTTTATATATTCATTGAATATTCATTATATATATTTGTAGTCTACCTATATAATTTATATATTTTTGCAGTATTTTTTACAAATATTTAGAAAATATGAGGAAATATTCTTAAATATCAGTTTTATATTTGGTAAGTTTTTAGGAAATATATGAAGGAACCGAATTTCAAGCATTCAATATTGTCAGTGTATGTAGAAAATTCGTCATTGGTTATTTTAGAAAAATCTGTAGGAACGCTTTTCTAAAATTGGGTTCATAAAGAAAATTCATTCCAGATATAATGGGTTTAATTTGCTAGAAAAATATCATAAAAAAACATTCTAAACCTCTTATGCATCTTGGAAATCCACTCCTAAGGAAAAAATAATAATTATTGCGAAGTATTATTGAATACTTATAAGCTGCTTTCAAGTGGTCTTTTAGTTAAGACAGAGATTCTCCCGAACTGCTCTAGAAGGTGTATAAATGGGAATATAAAATGCAGTGGAACAATATTGGTACTGAATACTGATGAGTTACTCCGCGTAGCTCAGCTGGGTCACTAAAAAGCAGCTCTATCATGCACCCAAAATGACCCCACATTCACTTCCTAAGTGAGTTCAAGATTTGGTTAATTCTTAAGAAAATTTGGTATTATAGATATCTTGATGAAAAATGTGGACACAAGTTGACCCTTTGCCTAGCTTTCAAAAAAAAAAAGTGTTTGAAAACAGAGCATTTATTGATTTTGCTGAAGCGACTTTTTGGTAGTAGGGGGCTAATTTAGCCATACATATTTTGTGATTTTATATTATAATTCAAGGAAAAAATATGGTATTTTTGAACCTCGCTGTTGAACTCAAAAATTTAAAAATATGTATTGCCGAATGAATCCTGCTGGTTTTGTTAATATAATATTTTCTATTAAATAAAAATTAAACATTTATACGATGAAAAAATATTACCTACATATCATGAAAAAATATTTATTGCATATTTTCTAACTGATTTCAATATTTTCCATCGATAGAAAAGTTAATTTTTAACGAATCTGCACTGGTTGACGTTGCGTGCACGGCACGATGCTGCATGGTCGTGGAGGACACTGCCGACTGTGCAATGGATAACAAACGCCTGTTAGTCTGCATTGGTGTCGCCATGAACACACCACTACAGGAGAAATATTTATATATATATATATATATATATATAACTTGAGACGTGGTCATTGTCGTCTAGACCAGTTAGGTGAAAAATTAAAGCTTCCGCCTTTTGTTGGGTACTTCGACAAAATTTAAGCAAAGAGGACTCTTTATACTTTTTTAATTCTCTCTAGCTATCAATGGACTTTGCCATCATCATCAGGAGCTGCAATTACAATGATAACAGTAGCAACAATAGTGTAAAATGAATTTAAATTGACTCAACTTACAGTAGTATGTGAGGATGTTGCTAATTGTTGTTTACGTATAGGATGAGGGAAACGTCCAGTAACATGGTGAGAGCTGGATAGATGGTACAATGGTCAAAATTATATAAAATATGACAAGAACATGTTAAAATATATACATAGGTCAGACCTCTAGATCTCTTAAAGGAAGGATTACATCACACAAAAGTAATTCTAGGCTAACCTTATCACTAACTATTATCATAGTAACAATCTTAATAAAAAGCATTCCTTTTATCACAACCTTTTAAACAAAACAAGAACATTTCTAAAACATCATTCTGAACTTATGGTTACAAGATCTGACAAAGGCAATGTTACAGTGATAATGCTTAAACAACACTATTTAGATCTTTGCAACAATCTCATCAATGATGACCCATCATATCATGAAATTAATAGAGATCATACACCTAAAGTTGAAAAGAAAAGTAATGACATTGTTAAGGAACTTCTCAGCACTGGACAAATAACCCAAGAACAAAAAAGAACTTTGACCACTTATAACTCCCTCCCTCCCAAATTCTATGCACTTCCGAAAATTCACAAACCCGTACTCTCAGTAAGACCTATAGTTGCATCAATAGGTTCAGCCACCCAGGCTTTGTCTTCATTAATATCGACAACACTAAAATCAGCACATGCAGATAATGATTACTACATCAAAGACTCATTTGAGGTCTCTCGTCAGTTCAACAGATTGACAATACCAGCCGATCATATTATCGCCAGTCTTGATGTGGTGTCACTATTCAGCAATATCTATCTGGATGCATGTACAAGAACTATTAATAAACACTGGAATGAGATCAGTCAACACTGCAACATATCTCTAGAATCTTTCACCAACATTATAACATTCCTTTTTCATAACAATTATTTCTCTTTCAACAACAAAATATATTCTCAAACACATGGTTGTCCTATGGGATCTGTTCTATCACCAATTTTGGCAGAATATGTCATGGATGATCTGCTTGACACTGTTATTCCGACACTACCCTATAACCTCTTCTTCATAAAAAAATACGTAGATGACATTATTTTATGCCTCCCCTCCATAGGTCTGGATGGTATTGTCAGAGAATTCAACAGCTATGACCCCTACATCCAATTTAACATTGAAAAAGAAGATGAGAACCTGTCTGTCCCCTTTCTAGACACAAGACTCATCCGCACCAACAACAACAATTTATTGGTAGACTGGTACCAGAAACCTATGGCCTCAGGTCGGTTTCTCAATTTTAGATCATACCATAAGCTAGGGATTAAAATCAATTTGGTAAAACAGATGAAAACAAGGGTAATCAGCATCTCAGATAATACTTTCCACACCTCAAATTTACATAAACTATCAAAACTGTTCATCAATAATGGTTATCCGAAGTGTCTGATTAACAAGATCTTATTTAGTTCACCTTCGAATATTTTACCGAACTCTAGTGATACAGGTAATAGTCACACAACCCCTAATAATAACGGAACTGATGTAATTCCCAATAATAGCATCAATCCAAACAGTACAAGCACCAACCCAGACTCCAGACCTGGTTTTGCTGTCCTGCCCTATATCAAGGAACTGACCCCTAAGCTGATCAGATTGTGCAGTCCTTTGAACTTTCGAATTGCTTGCAAATCCGTCCTCACTATAAACCGCATTTTTTCAAAAATGAAAGACAAAGTCCCGCTGCTTGGCTTAACTAACACAGTCTACTCCATCAATTGCAACAACTGCAACCAAATATACATAGGTCAGACCTCCAGATCTCTTAAAGGAAGGATTACATCACACAAAAGTGATGCTAGGCTTCATCCTGAAAGATGCGCTCTAGCATCTCATGTTAACACAACAGGGCATTCTATGAATTACACAAGTATCAAAGTTCTTGATAAAGGAAAACACCTTTCCAAACGTTTATTCCTGGAAATGTCCCACATTTTCATGAATAACAACTGTATCAACAAAAAGACAGATATTAAACAACTGAGTGTCATTTACCCATATTTGCTAAACTGCGAAAAATTGGAGAACTTACATATCTCCCCAAATTTCGACTTTTCACAACCATAAATATAATCTGTGTTTTGGCCGATTCCACCAACAAATTTCATTCCACTCAAAATCTAATAATTCTCTTCTCACGATTTATTAATAATTGTTAATTTAAAATTCCCATTAATTAAAATATAGTTTATTCAACTGCCTTTGGTCGGTTTAACAATTTCTTACATAACATTCTGAAAATCACATCATCTGAAGTGATTTGGCAACGTATTGGCACACGCCCACAATTCGTTCCATCTTTCAACACAGACATTGACAACCTTCAGCCTTCTGTCAAAGGTTCATCTCACTCATTATTCCATGACCACCATTTTGTGCAATCATCAAGTGGCTTCACGACGTAATGCTCTAATGTTTTCTAAATAATTTTTAATCTGTCTTTAACTTGTCTTGTCATATTTTATATAATTTTAACCATTGTACCATGTATCCAGCTCTCACCATGTTACTGGACGTTTCCCTCATGATATACGAAAACAACAATTAGCAACATCCTCACATACTACTGTAAGTTGATTCAATTGAAATTCATTTTACACTTTTGTTGCTACTGTTATCATTGTAATTGCAGCTCCTGATGATGATGGCAAAGTCCATTGAAAGCTAGAGAGAATTAAAAAAAGTATAAAGAGTCCTCTTTGCTTAAATTTTGTCGAAGTACCCAACAAAAGGCGCAAGCTTTAATTTTTCACCTAACTGGTCTAGACGACAATGACCACGTCTCAAGTTATATATATATATGTATATATATATATATATATATATAAATATTTATCACATATCACATATCTCACATACGACTGTAAGTTAATTTACACAATAGTTGCTATTTCTTCTCAATATTATTGCAGCTCCTGATGAAGATGGCAAAGTCCATTGAAAGCTAGAGATTAATAAAGTATAAAGAGTCCTCCTTGCTTGAATTTTGTCAAAGTACCCAACAAAAGGCGGAAGCCTTATTTTTCACCTAACATAACCTTTCATTTGTGTTACTCCGTCTATGATGGTTCTGTAAATATTTCGTCAAGTAGATTAACTCAGTACTTATAACTTATTGATATACAACAGACACAGACTGGCAACCGACAGAAATGAGAAACACGGATATATCTTTAAGCAACCGAAAACGTGTGAACCGAAGTTCGAATATTATCGCGAGCTTAATACCTCCATCATTTAGGTAGTCGAAAATTGATTCAGAGGCGGCGGAAATAAAATCGCTGAAACATAGTGTTACAGCGAATTCAACTCATTTTTGGATATTAGAGGGGAAGAAAATTGTAGGTTGGTAGCTGTATGCGGTAAATGGCTGTAAATTGTTGCATATTCTATTAATAAGTATCTCTGTAATACTATGCACCTGTTTATATATATATATATATATTTGCTTTATATTCAGAGGTTGAAGATTCATCCTACACAGGTGAACCTACCTAATTACGATTCGATTTCGCCTTTTGAAACTATTTGACTCATTCCCTCTCTTTGAAACCTCCAAAGAAGGAGTAGGAAGTATATAATCAGTCTACATAACGAAATTTTTTTTAATGCTTTCATGCATTTTTTCAGGTTCAAGATGAAATTGATATAATGAATATGCTTAGACACCAAAAACTACTACAACTGGCAGCGGCCTTTGAAAATCCAAAAGAAATGGTCATGGTCATGGAATAGTAAGTATTTATCGCATCCATAGTAGAACATCAGTCTTGAAACTACGAAAGTCATTTTTTCAGCAAGAACTGTTCTGTAGTTCAGAGAGTCAGAGACATTTTATTTATCTCAGACCGAAATATGAACATTTTTTCACTTTTCAACATGGTCATGATAAACATTTGTCAAGTCATGGCACCACCTTTTGCATCCCGTCGTCAAGAAACGCTGCCGCCTGACCGATAAAACCATCAGTAACTTTTTCTTTCAACATGTAATCATTTTCCAAGCGCTATCCGTCAAGAAATTCCTCAAGTTTTGGAAAAAGATGAAAGCCTGATGATGCTGAGCCGGGACTGTATGGTGGATGCTCCAGTAATTTCCAGCGAAACTTGTCCGGTTGCGTCTGTGTTCTTGCCGCAATAATAGGCCGAGCATTGTCGTGAAGTAGAACGACGCAGCTAGAGAGCAGACTTCGCCCGTGGTTTTAAATAGCGCCCCTAGGAGGAGCTTTTTTGCGTTTACACACCGAAATACTAAGCGTACTTGGCATAGCCACAAACAAATCAGTATAACCACAAAACCAACACTGACAGAGATGTAAAACGTAATGGTGGCATAGTGGAGGACTGGCCAAGGGTGTTTGAGGTTGGCCGGACGTCACGTGACAGGATGTGCGGACATGATGAGCAAAATGTTTAATTGGCCCTCGTATCTATATATCAATAAATGTGTGTAAAATTAATGTTAACTTCCTTTCAGCATTTCTGGCGGGGAGTTATTCGAACGGGTAGTAGCCGATGACTTTACGCTTACCGAAAAAGACTGCATCCTTTTTATGAGACAAATCTGCGAAGGTGTCGCGTACATGCACAGGCAGCAAGTGGTTCATTTAGATTTGAAACCTGAGAACATCATGTGCCATACCAGAACGTCGCATGAGATCAAAATCATCGATTTCGGATTGTCGCAGAAGATAGATCCTAACAAACCGATCAGGGTAAGGAACTTTTCAGTTTTATTTATCTAATCAGCTTTTTAACCAAACATTTCAATCCTGGTCTTATTTAAAGCAGTTTTGCCCAATAATGTAAATTGTTCATGCGCAACTACGTTCTTATATCCCTTCTTCTGCACCGAATTGCTGCCATTTAGGAACCGACACGTTTTTCAGTTAAAATCTGACAAACTAAAATTTCATAGTTTTTCAATTTCTTTGTATTCATATTCATCAATATTTTGTTTTATTACCTGTTCATTTTTGAAGTACGTGGTTTTCCTCCGTTTTTTTTATTGATCGTGCCTAACTACATTGTAAGTAGTTTTTTCCATTGATATCTTCATGATTTTAGTTTTAATCCAATACTCCTTGTAGTGTGTATAAATAAAGATTTTCGAAAGCTTAACTTGACAAAGAATCACGTTCTTTCTGGCCTGACTTCATTCTGCGTTTGGTTGCATACCTGAGAATTTGTACTTTGTATCTTAACAGACAGCCAAGACGTCCTTTTGTTTTGCTCGACTCTGACGAGTGCCCTCAGCGGCTCCTAACTGCTGTGATCTTGACTGATTTGCAACAAAAACACCGTGCGTACTGTTTAAACTCTAATTTATTAGGTACTCTTGCAGTAATTTGTAACAACATTTCTATTAATTTTTGACAAATTTATATTCGTCTTAATCTGCGCTGTTGCTGATTCATCGCTTGCTGTCGACTACTCAAATGTCACATTCTGCCGTCACAGCGCCTATATTTCAGATCGACCAATCCAGAGCCTTTTAGACAAAGCCTTCATCGATGCTTCAATTTCAATCAATTTGAAACCTTTATTTTATATAGATTGTTACACATGATGCATTTGGCTTATATATAAACAATAAAAAAGGTGTAAAATACGAGACGTCGGACTGGGGACGTAGGATAAAAACTTTTAACAAAGAATTATTATTATGAGATATAGTGCACAGAACACTTGAATTCTGTAGGCTGGATTTGATCAATTTTGGTCAATATCGGCTCCACTTCTTCGGTATTTTTAAAAACTTTCTTGTGCTGCTGATCAAGACGTGTTGCCACACTGTCCTTTTAATGCATGAGCCAGAGTATGTCACCTGGGATGCAGTAGGGGAACTGCCCATCTCTTTTATATCTTCTTAAGGCTCCTCTCTAATTTAAGAATCCTACTTTTACTTATGCATGGGAACACATCCGTAAGTCCGTATGTTAGTATCGGGTAGATGCATGCTTCAATTATTTTGAATTTCACTTCTATAGAAACATTCAAGCTGAAGCCCCTCTCGATTAGCCTTAAGATTTTTTTCCTTAATGAGCGTACTGTTTTGTTTAGATTGAGCATAAGGTATATATAGATAGCCCGGTGTGTCAAAGTATCGAGCTTCTGATATATAGACTAGACGGGCCGTGAATTTCGCCATCGGAAATAACATTCTGAGCCATGGATGTAATGGTGATTGTGCATTGTCCGCCTCCTTTGAGCGCATTTCATATTTAACAAGTTAAGCAAAAATCGGTGTCTATGGTATAGCTTCAATCCACACAACCCAGGACAATTGAGCTGGTTAATTGTGCGAAAAGCATAGAGAACAATAATGAATGAATGAATAAGCCCAAGGTATCGTCAAATTGGTTGAGGAATTCGCGTCTTGATTCGGGTCTAAAGGCCGTCGTCGGTTGGAATTTATTCCTAACGTTTCGCTAGCACGAGTGGCAAGCTTCTTTATAGGTCCTTCCATTTCCGATGCTGGATGTAGACTGACGATTTCTCTTGCGCAGGTTGTATTTATACCGGAGGGTAGGGGACGTGGCTTGTTCCGCTTCGATTGACTTCGGGATGTCGATCGGCACTGCTCGGGCGTTTCTGAGGATCGGGTGCCTGATCGGATTGAGTCTGAGGGTCTCTTCCTTCCTGTTGAAGTTATCTGGATGTTTGTGAATCTTGATAGCTTCCCTGACCAGACTATTGCGATAGCCATTGACTGATGACAGCAACCTGCAGACTCCCAAAGTGTATCCTGTGGTTCCCATTGCTTGGTGCATGTTCACCTACCGCAGACTTCTCAGTTTGTCGTAGCCGGCAATTTGCTTTGTGCTCCTTGAGTCTCGTTCCCATTGATCTTTTCGTGGTTCCAATGTATACTTTACGGCATGAACACGGTATGCGGTAGACTCCTGCAGCTGAGAGTGGGTCCTTCTTGGCCTTTGCCGATCTGATGGTTTGTTACACCTTCTTCATAGGCTTGAAGATTGTTTTAATGTCATGTCCCTTCAGGACTCTGCCAATGCTGTCCGCACAAATGTTCGATTTCACGTGGCCTGGCTGATCTCAAGCCCATTGATCTTTGGATGTCCCTCTTGCTGTAGCCATTTGCTTCGAGCGCAGTTTTCAGGTGTTCAAGATCTGTCTGGAGGTTATCCGGTTTTCAAATCCTTCGAGCTCGTTCTGTCAGGGTTCTGATGACTCCATACTTCTGAGTTGGGTGATGATTGGACAAAGCGTGCAGGTATCTGTCTGTGTGCGTTGGTTTCCTGTACACTGTGTGACCCAGCTTGTTACCTCGTTTCCTGACTAGTACGTCCAAGAAGGTCAGTTGTTGGTCACTCTCTATCTCCATGGGAAATTGTATGCTTGGATGCCGATCGTTGGTGTCGACCACGTACCGGAACCAAAATCAGTACTATCCAAAGGAGGTAATTTTGGAATCACGCCCCGCCACATTCCGGCTGAAGACATTATCTAAACTACAGAGGCAGCCATTAGACATCTACCGGACGAGGCCGCGGAGGAGATACGAATGGAGACAGCCAACATTCTTAGAAGGGCGAAACCACCAATAAGCTACCTGACGAGGAGTGAAGGTCTGGCACTACGAAACTTGAATAACGACGAGGATATCACCATACCAGCCGACAAAGGCAATGCAACCGTTCTTCTGAAGACCGAGGACTACAAAAGGAAGATTATTGAACTTCTAGACCCAGAAAGTTACAAACCCCTGAAAAAGGATCCAACGCAGGCCCGACTACGCCTTACCAACCGGCTCATCAAGCTATCGTCACTACCAGAAGACACCAAGAAGAGCGTTACGAGGACGGAAGCGGTTCCACCAAAGCTCTACGGCCTGCCCAAGATCCACAAGGCAGATGTTCCGTTGAAACCAAATAGTTAGTGCTCCCCGACGTACTACTTAGCGAAACACTTGGCATCCCTGCTGCAACCATACGTGGGAAAGAGTACCAGCTACATCAAGGATTCCACCGACTTTGTGCGCAAGATTCAGGACATCGTAGTTGAACCCGACGACATCCTTGTGAGCTTCGATGTCGTCTCCCTTTTCACCAAGGTACCGCTGAGGGAATGCCTGGATCTGGTGAGCAGGATCTTCCCTTTTGACATATGCAAGCTCTTTGAAATCTGTCTCACTAGAAGCTACTTCGTATGGGACGGGGGCTTTTATGAGCAGGCAGACGGAGTGGCAATGGGAAGTCCATTAGCCCAGTCATAGCCAACTTTTTTATGGAACACTTTGAGAAGAAGGCGGTTGAGACATCGGATAACAAACCAGCAATTTGGTTCCGGTACGTGGACGACACCTTCGTGATTTGGAAACATGGCACGGACAGGCTTAACGAGTTTCTGCAGCACCTCAATGATCGGCATCCAAGCATACAATTTACCATGGAGATAGAGAGTGACCAACAACTGGCCTTCTTGGACGTACTAGTCAGGAAGCGAGCTAACAAGCTGGGTCACACAGTATACAGGAAACCAACGCACGCAGACAGATACCTGCACGCTTTGTCCAATCATCACCCAAGTCAGAAGTATGGAGTCATCAGAACCTTAACAGAATCAGCTCGAAGGATTTGCGAACCAGAGAACCTCCAGACAGAACTTGAACACCTGAAAACTGCGCTCGAAGCGAGGGACATCAAAAGATCAATGGGCTCGAGATCAGCCAGGCCACGTGAAATCGAACAGCGTCCCACCACCTCTCAAGCGTATCTTCCATTTGTGCCAAGAGTCCTGAAGAGACATGACATTAAAACAATCTTCAAGCCTACGAAGAAGATCCAACAAACCATCAGATCAGCAAGGGACAAGAAGGACTCACTCTCAGCTGCAGGAGTCTACAGCATACCGTGTTCATGCGGCAAAGTATACATTGGAACCACCAAAAGATCAATAGGAACGAGACTCAAGGAGCACAAAGCAAATTGCCGGCTAGGACAAACTGCGAAGTCTGCGGTAGCTGAACATGCATTAAGCAATGTGTACCACAGGATACACTTTGGGAGCTGCAGGTTGCTGACATCAGTCATCGGCTATCACAATGGACTGGTCAGGGAAGCTATCGAGATTCACAAACATCCAGATAACATCAACAGGAAGGAAGAGACCCTCAGAGTCAATACGATCTGGCACCCGATCCTCAGAAAACGCCCGAGCAGTGCCGATCGACATCCTGAAGTCAACCTAAGCGGAACAAGCCACGTTCCCTTCCCTCCGGTATAAATACAACCTACGCAAGAGAAATCGTCAGTGTACATCCAGCATCTGAAACGGAAGGACCTCTGCAGAAGCTTGCTACTCGTGGTAGCGAGGAAAGAAAGGAAGAAATTACAACCGACAACGGCCTTTAGACCCGAATCAAGACAGCAGTTTTTCCAAGGTATTGTGTTTGATTGAGGAAGGGGGGTTACGACTGTTCGCTCCCCATTCCGGCCAAACTTGATCTATTTAGGACACGTTCGTGTTCGTAGAAATGAAATACACTCGGTTTCCTATTTATTACAAGTAAGCTCCTACCGATCATAGAACTCCAATTTTGGCCTCTTTGCTCTCATGATGGCTGTGTTTTGTTGTTTGGATTCATCTAGCACGCACAAATCATCGGCGTATTGTGACATCGGTTGGTCTGCAATGTTTTCTACCAGCAGATCATCAACGTAGGGGTTCCAACAGGTAGTGCCCGAATGCGAATGGGCTCCGTACCCGGTCGCGTATTCTGGTAACCATGCGTCGTTGTTTTGGGGTCGTTTCATCAAGAGTTCTAGTGTACGAGGGCGCTATAGGTTATTTATTTATCAGTCTTCTGGTAGCAACATTCAGAATCAGATTCATGGATCTTCTTTGAGGCGTGAGCCTTCCTTGGAAACAATGGATATCAGATATCTCATTGAAAACAGCGAAACAATGACGCTTCCTTGAGGAACGTCCACGGGAGAATTCAAATTTTCATTTCACAGTAGACTGTAGTAGTTGTCACCACAAACTGTCATCGGTGTCAGAAATATTTTTCCTTGTTGGCCGTATCTGTTTATCGTTTTGATCATAAAACTAGGACAATTTGGTTTGTTTGTGCTAAAAATTGATAAAAAATGTAAAAGTAATGTGACAGCAAGATACAAGTATTTTCATTGATCGTTTCTCAAACTTGCTCCTCAAAGTAGTTAATTAAGGAACTATATGTCTTTACATCTAATGATCCCTTTAACTTTGTCTAGTATTTCGATCAAATGCATTAAACACTTTTTTTAACTGTCACACATAATTTAAAATACCTACTATAAAATACTATTATATATATACTATATGCTATTTTGTGAAATACCGTAGTAGTCTAATCTGACAGACGTAATCGACAACCTGTAACCAGTAGAGTAAGGTGCAACGGTTGTCTATATTCAGTTTTTTACTTCTCGCGATTGCGCTACAATTCGGGGAAGCAATCACGTTGTTATTTTGCATTTTTGGTGGATGTCCAGCGCAAATAAACCAAATCGCCCCAAATTTATCATCAAATGCTGAGTAGATACGGCCACCAAATAAAAATCTCGCTGACATGGATGACAGCTTGTGATGTGAACTGCTACAGACTACTGTGAAATGGAAATTTAAATCCTAGCCTCAAGGAAGTGGCATTGTTTTACTGTTTTCAGGGAGATACGTATCTGATATCCATTGTTTCCAAGGAAGCTTAATTTACGCATCAAGGCAGATCTGACTCTAAAACAACTAATCGTAGCTTTGTATAAATTTATATTGAAATATAGCCATTTTTCATGTTTAGGTTCTTTTCGGAACACCTGAGTTTATCCCACCGGAAATAATAAACTATGAGCCAATTGGAGTTGAATCAGATATGTGGTCGATCGGAGTTATATGCTATGTTTTGTAAGTATTATCTAAAGTTTTTAGTGACAATATAATATTGATGAAATCTACTTTCTAAATTATGTATCATATTTTTTCAGGTTATCTGGACTATCGCCGTTCATGGGTGATAATGATTCTGAAACGTTCGCAAACATTACAAGGGCCTATTACGATTTCGAAGACGAGGCTTTCTGTACTGTTTCACAGAACGCCAGGGATTTTATTTCTGCGGTGCTCGTCAAACGAAAAGAGTAAGTATTTATGGAGAAAATCTATCATGTAACCGACTCACAGGCTAAGGCGGAAGTGCTTGCCAAGATCTTTGCTGCCAATTCCACCATGCCTCCCGAGTGCCGTCGATTGAACGTCTTACTACGCGAGAAGTAACATTTCAGACGGATGCTCTTGTAGCTTGATATCAACAAAGCTTCTGGTCCGGACTTGATTCTTGCCGTTGTTTTGAAGAGGTGTGCAGCGGGACCTTGCTCCAGAAAACTCGAAATTTGTTCATGTCCAACCCATCTCAAAAGAAGGATCTAAGACCGACCCTTACAACTGCAAGTTTATAGCTCTGCTTTCTGTTATAAGAAAGGTGATGGATAGGTGCATAAATCGCGAACTTCTGGACTACCTCGCACGCTACAGCTTGAGTAGCGACAGGCAGTATGATTTCCGTCACCAGCGATCCACAGGGGCCCTTCTAGCTTAACGACATGCAATTGTGGAGTAAACTCATCCAGCGTTACGTAAAGGGTCATGTCGTTGCTCTTGATATCACGAAAGTGTTTGATCAGCTGTGACATGCCGACCCCTTCTGCAAACTCCCATCCTATGGCCTCCCAGAGAAGCTTTGTCATAATTGACACTGTTCCTCTTACATATCGGCGATCTCCTTTCCTGTACGATCTATACAATCCACAGCTTTGCCGATGATAGTACCCTACTTGCAGAAATTCAATGACAAGCCAATCTCTGCCGATGAGCTGGAGGAAACAAAACTAGCAACGACTTCCTCTCTGACGAGAGATCTGGAGCGTATCACTGCTTGGGAATGCAACAATCTAGTATAGTTTAATGCTTCCAAAACACAGTACTGTACCTTGACGAACAAAAAGCATCCTGGCGCTCATCCGGTTTCGATGGATGGCCGAGTTCTGCCAAAGAGCCATTCATTGCGGCTGGTTGGAGTTCAGATCAACGAGGACTTGATCAGGCACGAACACATCTCGTCAATAGCGGCAACTGCAGGCAAAAGGTTTGTTTAGGGCTAAGAAGAACTTTCTCCGTACGTTCTCCTCACTCTATATACGGAAGCACCAAAGGCCTAGGCCCATGGCTTGGAAAGTGAGGTTCGACTGTCTTGTTCTTCCATCTCTGCACTCCTATTGCTCGCAACTCCTCTTTGTTTTCCTGTTTCCATCTGCTTTTTGGTATTCCTCTTCTTTTCTTTGTGCCAGCTGTGTGCATCAGAATCCTTTTTCGTATTCGTATATTTGGCATCCTTTCTATGAGGCCTAACCAAATCAGCCTCTGGGCCTTGTGGTCCACGCTTCGCTAGCATATGTTACTACTGGTAAGATAACTGTTCTGTATATTCTAGTTTTAGCGTTTTTCGATATTTCTTTATTTTTTATGTGCATATAAATGCACATCGTTTCCCTGACATGAATTTCTTCTTTGGTATTTGGTCTGTTTGTGAATACTGTGTCTAGGTATCCACCTTCTCAAAAACGTAGGACTTTTCTTCTTCTGCTTCTATTTTTAAATCTTTCCCAATTTTGCTACTAAACATCAGACCATTTCATACGTTTTGCTTTATTTTCATTTATATATTGCGCCAGTTCCCTAGCTGCTATATCTAGTATCCTCATCACATCTTGTAACTCCTGTTTGTCGATCAGGCGCTGTTAATTTTCATTAGTTTCTTCATGCTTACTAAATATTCCTATTGTCGGCTTCCCCGATTTTAGCATTCGCATCTCCCAATACTACTTTCATATCTAGGTAAATTTTCGTAAACCCTGTTTAGTTCATAATAAAAGTCTTTTTTCATCTCTAGCCTTTTTCTTACGAAGGTGCGTGAATATTAATCAATGTAATCTTCTGGTCTTTTCCTCTCAATCTAAGAAAACACTATTGAAAAATAAAAAAATATCTTTTTCAAACACTTTCTGGCCCAATTGTTTTGTTCCTTGTAGCGCTACTATATCGACTGGTACTTTTTTATTTCTCTAATCAATTGTTTCAATTTCCCGGATTTAGATGTACCTCTTGCATTCCATGTCCCCACTATATATATATATACATGTATATATATATATATATAATTTCTACGTCCACTTGTTTTGATTTTTTTGCTGATTTGTAATTTTTTAATACTGCTATCTTTATTCATCGCTTGGTTCATCATGACCTTCCCACTGCCGTATTCGCCTATTAGTTTTTTTCACTCACTTTTTCCAGTTTGCCTTTGCTGCCGGCCCATTTACATTCCGCTCCATTTATCGTTAATTTCTTATTTCCTATTCTGATTGCGTCCCCTTTTCGTTTTTCCTGTTGAACGATTTTTTGTATTTTCTTCTGTATTTGCCTCTTTTTTACTGTTGTGTCATCGTTAATGCAAATTTTATTCTCCTTGATATTCCGTAATTTTGCCATGTTCTTCATAACTTTACACTTTTCTAACTGATTTTTTAGCTCCAGTAGACACGTTTTTGTGCCCAGCTTACTTGCAGTCTTTATTTTGGTTTCTATTTTCAAATGAGCCTTCATAAAACCGTCCATTTTTTCTTTAAGCACTACTTGATCATATCCAGCGATTACGAGCCAACTGACAACTACACTATTTTGTCTTCTGTGTTTCTCCATGTTTTCCATATCTTCTCGCAAATAAATTATATCTTTTTTCATCTGTTGATAATCTTTTTTTATCATTTTATTTTTTTCAAATCTATTATAAGGTTCTCCAATAATGCTTTGTACTCCTGTTTATCTATCTTCTTCTGCTTAATATCACTGGATGGGCTGCTTACCATTTCCAGCAACTTGTCTAACTTTCCTTCTTCATTTTCTGTGGGGTTCTCTTGTTTTTTTTTTACTTTTTTTTTTAAACTCCTTCCTCCTCAAAATCATCACCTCCTTTTCTTCGTTTTTTCCCGTCGTCTGTGTCCTCACTGTCACAGTACTTATCCTCCACTAATCCTTTTCAATCCAAAAATAATATCCAATGTGGCCACGACGAGATAATATTGTGCGAAATTTGCTTTTCGGTAAGTCAGAGTTCATCCAATTAACCCGGAAATACTCAACTCTCTAAAAGGCCCAAATACGACCTAGCCTCGAGTAGTGCTCACATGTTCGATACTGTTCAGGGGAGAGCTGTCCGACTGATCGATGACTCTTCTCTAACGGACAGTCCCGGGATCCTTTCCCGGCGATCTAGCTCTCTTCTACCGCTATGCCAAAGGGTTCTAGTCCTCAGAGCTCTCCTCTATGTTGCCGCCTCGCGATGGTGCTTGCCAGACAATACCCGCTTAACTTCGGCCTCCAATCCTAATCGTCTCGAACTTCGTTCATCCAGAACTGGCCGATACGACCGCTCCTTTGTCACTAGGGTATCGAGATTGTGGAACAATCCATACGAGCAGACTTTTCCCAGTTCTAGTAACCTTACGCAGTTCAAAAATCGAATTAACAAAGATTCCTTAAGCTCCTCATAGTAGCCGCGGCGCCTCAGCATTCAGACTTCTGCTTGAGCAGCTTCTTCAGATAAAAACTCACAAACAAATATCATCATTGAATATCTTGATCTTTATTTTTCCAAAAACGTGTTTGCTATGTTAAAATTTGTTCAGTGGGTCACAAAAGAATTGCGATGAAAATTAATGTCATCTATTCAGACTGAATTTATATAAACGTTTATCCCAATGAAATGCACACTATCCCAAAAGTTCCTCGTAACAGCCACTGCGCCCTGGCATTTAGGCTTCTACCTGTGCGGCTGTTTGTGTGTAAAAAAAAAACAACAGAAGGAAGATTTTCACAGAGAGCTCTAGGAAAGAATATTTTAACACGCTTTGGTTTGAATATTTCTGTTTCACTGGCATGATCCTATAGTTTCGTTTTTTTTCAGAGAGCGGCTTTCTGCTGAACAGTGCCTGAAGCATGTCTGGTTAGACCCTGAGAACCACCAACAAACTGTCGTCTTGTCCACGGATAAACTCAAAAAGTTCATCATTCGCCGCAAGTGGCAGGTACGTCAACGTTTCAACTACACAAGTGTGACACTTGTTAATTTACTTTTTGTCGTGAGAATCATTAACTATTTTTTATGGTGACTTGCTTGACATTATAGCGTGACGAGAACACAACATAAGGAATTGGATGAAGAAAAAGTCAGAAGTCCCTAGAATGGTAGAACAGCCAATTAGGGCAAAGCTAGGAAATATAGTTCATCAAAGAACGAAAGTCCGTATTTACCTACTTGGATTTAATAGGTGGCCGTTAGAGCCATAGTGTGTCTTCTGACATCTGAGGCTCTTTATGCAGAGAGTATGAGGAAACCCCACTGATGATTGTTTACACTATAGGGTTGTCCAATAGGGACGCAGGAAAGTAAACGTCAATTTGACATAGACGCCATCTTTGTTTTCTGTCACCGACATGTCATTTTGTTAGTTGAATGTTTACCATTGATCGCTATGGAGTCGTGTTCGATTGAAGACCGCATTAAAGTTATTCAAGAGCACTACAAAAATGGTGCAAAAATAAAAGACACGTTTCGCGCGCTTCGTGAACATTTCGGTCGCAACAACCGGCCAAACGAAACAACCATCGGTCGTCTGGTGCGTAAATTAGAGGCAACAGGTTCTGCGGCAAATCTGCCAGGCTCTGGCCGGCCAAGGAGCGTTCGCACACCGGAAAATATTGCTGTTGTGAAGGAGAGTGTGAGAGACGATCCGAAACAATCAACAACGCGTCGATCCCAAGAATTGGGCATTTCGAGAACCAGTTTGCTCCGCATTCTCCACAAGGATTTGAATGTACACGCCTACAAGATCCAATTGACGCAAGAGCTGCGACGGGCCGACCATTTTTCGCCCCGAACGTTCTCAGATTGCCTCCTTGAACACCGCCAAATTGATGCCAATTTTTCATCAAAAATCATGTTCAGCGACGAAGCGCATTTCACTTTGAATGGGACGGTAAACAAGCAAAACTGCCGCATCTGCGCGAACGAAAATCCCCGTGAGTATCAAGAGCAGCCGATGCATCCTCAAAAAGTTACTGTGTGGTGTGCATTGTGGTCAAAAGGCATCATCGGACCTTACTTTTTCGAAAATGCGGCCGGGGACGCCGTTACCGTCAATTCTGAGCGATATCACGTGATGATAGAGGACTACTTTTGCCGCAACTTGAAGGAATGGATATGGACGATGTTTATTTCCAGCAAGACGGTGCAACATGCCACACAACCAACGTCAATATCCATCGATTGCAGTCCTTCTTCGGTGATCGCGTGAATTCGCGCAGAGGAAATGTGCCATAGCCACCAAGATCGTGCGATTTGACTCCCTTGGACTTCTTTTTATGGGGATATTTGAAAAGCAAAGTCTACGTCAACAAACCAGCCACCCTCCAAGAACTCAAAAACAACATCATTGCCGAGATAAATGCCATAGAACCGACCATGTTGCAAAATGTCATTGAAAATTTCGACCATCTCGTGGACGTCTGTAAATCCAGTCGTGGTGAACATTTGAGGGATATTATTTTTCATACATAAATGAACCTTCAAAATAAAGTACCGAACTTGATTTGAATATCAATCTTTCTTGTTTTAATATGCGTTTACTTTCCTGCGTCCGTTTTGGACAACCCCATATATTGACTGACAATAAACTGTATGAATTGTGTCTGAATGAATTTGCTTGATTGCCACGCCAGTCTGCTTTGATGGTCGGCGCGTGAATGTCTCGTTCTTCGGGCGGTGTTGCCAGATGTGTACAGAAGTTGCCGGAACAGTTACAGAGTCGCAAAAACTCCATATGGGTCGCACAGGTCTAGCCGGCCAAAAATGTTATATCAATATACGATCCCCTTCCCACTTCAGTTGGCCCAACTATTGAAATCTTAGTTTTTTTCTTATCAAACACAAATAATAAAAATGTAGCAGGGTGTTATAGGTTTAAAATATTAACAATGACTATTTTGATAATATATAGTAGAAAACACCAACTTTATCACTCCCTAATCAAATTTGCAGCATAAAAATAACACATGTTGCAATTATAGCATATCAACCTATTTTCATTTCAATGCAAAATAAGGCAAAGGTGGCTGTAAAAAATAAAAGCCATGACAATTGTTTTTATTAATCACAGCTGTCAGAATAGTTTTGGGTAGTTAAGGTTTTCAAAATGGGTAGAGGAAAGGTTATTAGTGAGAAAATTCTGTTCTGATAATTAAATTTTTTAATTCTGGGAACTCAGAAATTGCAACTTTGTTAGACTTATCGCGGTACAGTGTTAGAAATATTGTTAGAAGATATAACGTAACTGGTTCAGTTAATATTAAGCCAGGATATGTGAAAAAAAGTAATATCACAAATGCCGACCGAAGAGCATTAAGAAGAATAATCGTGAAAAACAGGCGTGTCAATTATTTACAATTAAGTGCTCTGTGGACTGACGCTGTTGGAAGGAGAATTCCGAGGTCCACAACTCATAGAGAGGCCCACAAACTGGGATTAAGCACTTGCAACGGTAAGTTTTCTTATAAAAAAGGTGAAACCCTAATGTTGCACTACTTGTTTATATGGAAAAGAAAAGCCACTATTAACTTCACTGCAAAAGAAAAATCGGCTTAGATGGGCTAAAGAACATAGACAATGGACACTTCAACAATGGTGTGCAATACAATGGAGTGATGCGGCCCGATTCGAAGTTTGTGTTGGTGACAGTCGCAGTAGAGTTATTCGCAAAAAAAATTAAGCATTCCATGTTGACTGTCTGAAGAGAAAAGTGAAATTTCCAGCATCCATTCTGATCTGGGGCAGTATGTCATCAAAAGAAGTAGGAAAACTTCATTTTATTGATGAAAATGTGGATACAAATATTTGGCAATTTTAGAAGAATCGATTTTACGAGTGATGCAAGAATGTTTGACATTCGGCCAAGATTTTGTGTTTCAGCAAGTGCAGCGTGCCATACCTCAAAAAAGGCTATAAAATGGATGGAAGAAAATAATGTACCACTTTTGAAATGGGTTTTTAGCAGTCCAGATCTGTCACCTTTTGAAACTTTGTGGCACGAGATGAAAAAGGTTCTACGACAACATCCGAACTGAGACAAAAGCTTCAAGAAATAATTAATTTTTGCCAAAACTTGTTTAACACTATGCCCCAAAGAATTTTAGCCGTAATAAAAAATAAAGGTGATGTCACCCAACGGTAATCTTTCAATTGTTGCTTTGTTAACTTCGCGCGTTTATTCGCACATTGTTTATTTGTTCAGATGTTCTATTAGTTATAGGTCTAAGTGATTTCAAATATGTATTTTTTACAACTAGAGTGTATCTAAAACGTTTTTGAGAAAATAAATTGTTTTAGAAGTAAATAGTTTCGTCATGTTTAGTTTATAAAGGCAAATTTTGGTACAAATCTTGAAGTGGGCCAACTGAAGTGGGAAAAGGCTTGTATTATATTAATCTTAGGCTGAATTAAAAAAAATATTCAAAAAATCTATGACCTCTGGCTTTTGAAATATGGTATTAACCTTTCAAATAACCTATTCCATCAACTTTGTATGGATTTTGCAGAGGAAAAGAGTTGATTAAATTACTTTACCAAACCTTATGTTTTTTAAACCGCTTTCAAATAACGATTATGATACATTTCTCTATATTTTGGGTTAAAAATTAAAAAAATAATAGGAAGAGATATAATGATTCATCTTGTAAATCATTTATTTAAAATGTACCAAAGAAATTGGGCTAATTACAACTCAATTCTTAATTAATCACCAGGTGATAAAATTGATCGCTTTCCGAATCGGGGAGTTCTTGGAGAGCTATTTGATTGGATAGTTCAGCAGAAAGAAGTAGAGTTAATAACGTCTTCGGTACTGGCCTCATACCACTTGGTAGCGGATCGGAACATAGCAAACTATTCAAGATACTTATGTTTTCTGATTCTCTTGAACATTTTCAACCAAAATTTCATCGGTACAACCTAAAATAGTTATTCTGAGCCTTTGTCATCTTCGCTGAAATTCTTACTCAAGCATTGAACATTCATGTTTCATATCGTTCTGTTGATTTACCAGGTAGTTTTCCAAAAGTTCTAATTTCTTGTCGAAACTAGCCAAAAAGGTCTCGCCTTATAAAAATTCTTACACCAGATGGCCCCAAAATAACATTTGCCCTTAAATAATCAAAGTAGCTAACTAAATATTTATGTAACCCTTTGTCACATTTTTTTTTTAAATTTATTGCTTGATTTAGATTTGCAGCAAAAAATCAATATTTTCCATAATGGCAGTTATTGAATTAAAATTTGTTCCCTGGATAGCTTGAACAACCAATCATGCTGAAGAAGTTATCGGGTACATATAACAAAATCCATATCGAAAGTTGAAATTCGCAAAATCAAGAGCATCTTTCGTATTTTTTTATTGCCTTAGCCTATATTTTAATAAATTGTATTCTGCTGTAACATATACACTGAGGACCAAATTTGTCTGACGGCTGAGTTGAATGTCTAGGAGAGAGAAGTGTGTATAGACAAATATGTTGGAAAGAGATAGTAGCTGGCTGGATAGCGAAGCTCATCACCGCGTTGCCTAGCTACGCTGAGGCGGCAATCAGCCGAGTTGCCAATAATTACACCAATTCCTTGAATTAAGATGCATGTTGAAGGTATGAGTTAGTTCAGTATAGCGCTCACTGGGGAGTGTCGTCCTGCTTCAAAATGGTTTTCACCTGCGTACATGCATGCAGTGATAATTTGTAATGCGAAATATGGTATTTGTGACATTTCCCGACTGCTCGCTGTCTCAAAATGTAACAATAACTCAAGATGTGTGGATTTTATCACGATCGGTGGAAATCAAAGACAATTCTAAAATAAATTAAAACACCAAGTCACGTCAAAATTGAAATCAAAATATTAGATCAAATGTTCTTGAGAGGCATGAACATTTTCTGGTGTAACATAATTGCTTTTTGGCCGACTAGATAATAACTTTACTCCTCTGTGATTGCGTTAGGGCTAAGAAGCAAACCCCTTTTTTGTAATCTGCTTGACATCACTCTGCAAATGTAAGATGTCATACCTTATCCTTAATTCTGAAAGCCAACCAAGTCACCATAGCATTTTGCTTTTGTTTTGTTGTTGCTGCATGCGAGTGTGTTTTGTTTTGGCATGCTTAGAAAACCGGCAACGCAATCCGAGCCTTAGGCAGAATGGCAACGCTGTCCGCAAGCCGACGCAGTTCGACCAATAGCTGCAATTCCTCCCCCACCACTCCACGGCCCTCCCTCTCAGGCAGTTCCATCCCGAGGATGTCCAGCCTGTGCGAAGAAAACAAACCGCTCGCCCTCCAGGAGGTCAAATCGACCTTGCTCGACCTCACCGACGATGACAACCTCGAGACCTCGGACACTTACATGCCCTTGAAGACGATCAAGGACAAGACGGTACGCGCCAGGGCGTTCAGCGAAAGGAGCGACAGCGGAATCAGCGACTGCTCGTCGCACTTGACGTCAAGCAGTTGCACTTCGACGCCTTTGTTGGGGAAGAAGTTCTGCATCAACGAGGACGCAGAGTATATCGTGGACAGGAGAGCGGATGAGGGAGATGGTAGGGGAGTGAAAGAGAACCAAAGAGACACGGCGGCGGCGACCAATGGGAAACCGACATCGATGGATGCACAAGCTGGTTTGAGTTTGAAGCTTAGCAGCAAGGTGGATAGCTTTAGCAATAGTCAGCCGGTTAAGTGTAAGTACGCTTTTGCTATGTTTGTTTACGGCAAAGAATACAAAGTTACCAGTGGAAAAAACAGATTCTGTCGCGTTACGCATTCTGATTAGGTTTTTTGCACAACGTTGATAAAAAACAATTTTTGACACAATTTCAGGTATGTTAACATCCAGTTTAAAAAGGGTCTTTTTGAATGAGATTATTCAAAAAAAATAATCAAAATATTTTTTTAAGCAGATTCAAAGATACTTCCTGTACTTTAACTACCCTACTTGCCAATGGCCGGCACCCGATCCGAAGTGGGTCTCGTGAGATAATTATTTTTCCGCCTGCTGACTTGAACCGTTTAGAATCGAAAAGACAACCTCAAAAACACGTCATAACAACGTTACACGTTCTTAATTAGACATTCAGTAAACGTCATTACGACGTCGATAGTTGGAACAATCATGCCATTTGACGAAATTTCAATATCAATATGTCGTGCGTGTGCCAGCTGGGTCTAAGGTAATCTAATTTTGTATTTGTTTTCAGGTAAATCACCAAGTGCGGCAGGTAGCCTAAAACGTCTCCCCATATACACCTCAAGAACCGTGGCAAACACGATAAAAAAATTCGACCAACCCACTGACACCATTGAGCCTCAAATCATCACCAAAGCTGACTCGTTCACCAAAACTGATCATCGGAAAAGTGAAAAAACGACAAAAAACAACAACCACATGTCCAAAATCGACAAAATCGTTGAGAGGTTATCGACGACTGACAGACAGACTAACGGCAACACTCTTGTGCCTACGGTGAGGTACAGAAGCCCCTCGCCTTCGCTTTTGAGGAAAACGCAAGCGGTTATCGCTAAAGAGCGGGCTAACGATTATTTTTTAGCTAAGCAGGGTTTGAACAGTTCCAAGAATTCACCGCTTCTCTCGCCGAAGTTCACTCACTCGAACTACCCGAAATCGCCAGATCTAGGTAGGAAGGATAAGCCAAAAAGCGAGAGCTTTCAAAAGGCTGCAGCTTTTTGGAGCTCTCCGAAAACATGACAAGATTTTCGGTAATATCTTTTGTTTGAAAGTGTAAATAAACACCATAGTGCCTTACTTTGAAAAGCGGAATTGTACCTTGCCTCTAATGTTATGTTCATATGCAACTTAAAGTTTTATTCTTGTGTTATTGAAGATACTGTTGTACCCTTATATGTGTAAAATTGTATATTTTAATTTAATAAAAATTATTTATTGTTATTTTCCTTTTATTTCTGACACATACATATACAAAAAAAACAGAATTGCACTGAACAACTAAACAATCTTCAAAAATTAAGTATGACTCTGTACTTCTCCGCAAAATGGACTTTGAGTAATATCTGTATATCTAAGTCAATTAAGGCCTTCGAAATGGAGCGCGAGAAGTAGTGGTCCTAGTCTGTGGTGCTCTCCAATATCTTTACCAGAAAAGTCCGTATCTGAAGAAATTAAATAATATATTTATGTTAGACTAACAGTAGTTACAGTGCCCCAGTGTTTAAGTATTTTAGATATAGTTGCCCTTAATAGCCTGGATTTCGTTGATATCGTTTTGTTTTGGTTGCGCCTTTATGGTTTTCTCGTCTACTGACCTGCGTGAAATTAAATCCGCTATAACCTCCACTTCCAATGAAATTGCGGTCAAGGTTTGCTGTTCTGGTAGAAAGCCAGGGCGGGGAACAACTGAAATCTGATAGGCAAGCCATCGACACCCTAAGGGAACAAACAAACATCCTGGAAGCAGAAAACAGGCAACTTAGGAAGATCGTTGTCGACAGGGAGCAGTTGGAGCGAAGTCATAACGTTCGCTTCTTTGGGATATTTACGGACGATGAGGTTTTGGATAAAAAAATTATCGATTTATTTATGAATAATTTGGGGGTAAGCATACCAACGAAGCCATAAAAAAGTGCGATCGTATCGCAAACAAAATGCCAACGATAGCCCCCCGGCTTTTTTGGCACCGTTCAATTGTGATTCCATCCAGCGCCAGGTGCTTAAAAATCGTAACAAACTCCGAACAATGCAAATTGAAATCAAAGAAGACCTGACAAAGAGTCGACTAAATCTATTTAGAGAAGCTATAAGCAGGTTTTCGTTTAAAAACACTTTGGTGAATAACGGCATTATTTTTGCCAGTCAATAATATTGTGCATACGATACGCAGTGAAAATGACTTTGAAAAAGGAAAGTAAGTACAGCTATTAATCCACATCAGGGACACTGATATTTCGAAGGTACATTACCAAAAAATGTAAGTACTGAGTTAATATGCTTTTTTGAATGTCTAACGCAGTTTTTCCTTCGATTTTGCGTCTATGGTTAGGAAAATTTGGTTTGTTTTTTTCCTGTGGGTCACTCAAATATCAGATCATTGGATACAGGGTTTGATGCGTTTTCCTCTTATGCTTCAGAGCTTTCTTTCGACCTACTATCTCGACCAAACATGGGGGGGTTAGCTATATATTTTAAAAAAATATTAAACCAACAACATTAAATTTAGTGATATTCCTCTCAAAGATGCAAATTTTGTATTCGTTGGTATTCATTTTCGAACTAATAATAAAACTTGGTAATTTAATTAATATTTACCGACCTCCTTCCGGTAACATTGCGAATTTTTTGGATACATTTGAGGACATACTGGGTGTAGTTGCTGTTGGTTGACTGACTGGTCGTCACAGGAGATTTTAGCATTGATTATCTGAGTGAATCTTATCACCCCAGGCGTTTTAAAAATATATTGCAGTCATTGAATCTCTCTCAAAAAATATCTGAGCCAACTAGATATGATATGCTGACATCACATATACTTTGATTGATATGATCATTGTAAGTGAAAATTTACTAACAGTTAAATCAGAACCATACCAATAGACGAGAATTTAACAGAGCATAATTTAGTTTATTCGATCTTTAACATTCCAAAAATAAACAGTTCTCCGAAATATGTTACTTATCGTGATTATAATAATATACGTGAACAGTCATTTCTCTATGATGGTATGCGGCTTCCGTGGAATAATATTTACTATTGTACTAATGTAGATGAAAAGGTGAAAATATTTAGTAAACATATTTTACCAATCATTAATGAACATGCCGCTCTAAAAACAAGAAAAATTAAGATAGAAAAGCCGTTTCTTCCCTGGATAACAGAAAACATAAAACTTTTGATGAAAATTAGAGATAAAGCCCATAAAAAATACTTAGGATCTAATAGAGATCAGCACCAGATATTATAGACAACTAAGAAATTACACTAAGCACGCTATTATCCGCGAAATAGTTTGCCATTTTAATCAACTATCAAGAAAAAAACAAGATGATTTTTGGAAAGCACCGCGAAGGCTTAATCTGACCAACCAGAGGACTCTTACTGAACTTCCTGATAATCTCTTAAATCCATCTGAGATACATGATCTTTTCAGATGACTTATAACCTGTCAGACCGTGCATCATTAAACTTAACCAGTTTTTATGAAAATAATAAAGCTGTAAATAATAATTTGGAATTTTATTTGATAGATCGGAGCAGACTAATAAAAATTATTAATTCCATTTCATCAGATGCGATTGGAGAGGATGGCATATCCATCAGACATAAAATTGTCTTGCTTTCTGCGCAAGTGCATTGATTAATATTATTAACACATGTCTTTTGGAAGATACTTACCCTTCTGTTTGGAAAAAGGCTATTGTGAAACCCATATCAAAGGTTGGCGAGCCTAAAGAACTTAAAGATCTCAGACTAATTAGTATTTTGTCCTCTGTGTCAAAACTTATAGAAAAACACATTTTTGTTAAGATGTCGGAATTTCCTGAATCGCAGATATCATTTCCCAATATCAATCGGGATTCAGGAAGCATTTTAGTACAATTACAAGCTTGGTAAATATTTTAAACGATGTCCGAATGCATGAGGACCAAAAAAATGCTACTTGCATGATTTTGTTAGATTTTAGCAAAGTTTTTGATCACAGAATGCTGTCGGCAAAGCTAAACTATTTTGGATTCTCACCTAATGCAATAAGTTTTTTAAAGAGCTGTGTTATGATTTCTCAAGGGAGCCGTTCAAGTATTACGTAAGCAGATTTATTACAATTATTTATCCCCCCATCCCCCTTCTCAGCAAAAGTAAGCAAAGCTCTTACCCCCTCCCCCCATGCTTACGTAAACATTTGTAAATGTATAGTTTTTTTTAATATTATAATTATAACGTTATAATTATAATTTGAAAAATAAGAAAATAGATTTAGGATAGAGATTATATTTTACTGATACGGTATTCAACATAAAGGACAAAAATATTATATCTTACTAACATAACAAACTTATTTTAAATTTTTGGTACATATATCAAATTCAAATTAAGTCTTCAGTCCATAAAACCCGAATCCATGATTTCGATGACATTGGATTAATTCGATTGCTGCTCAGTGTTGTGAGTTTGCTCGCTTTCATCGGACTTTGGAATGTCTATGTCGTTCTCATCGAGCCATTCAACATCAAGGTGCTCTAAATTTTGAATAATGCACATCAGTTCATTAGCACGACGAGCAGCGACTCTTACAGGTCTAACTTTCCTATCAGTGTGCGTGTTTACTTTTACCACCAGGATAAGCTTCAGAATTAGTGGGAGCGACGTCCAGGGTCCTTCCGTCAGATCGTTGCTTTACTTCTAGAAGCGAAATTATATTATATTAGTATGTTAGTGGCATAGTAGCGTTAAAATTCACGCGTTTATGTATAGCCGGCTGTAACGAAATGAAAGACAAGTTGAAATTATTGCTCTTACTAGGTTTAGGTCTGCCTCGTCCACTCGAGTAAAGATACTTTCTTTCTGTCTCACTGGGCCTATAAGTGCCCAATTTTGACTTGAGGTCAAGCAGCTTTTTTATAAAATAGATTAAAAGAAGGGGGCGGATATCATTCAGGCAATCTCTATCAGTATAACCGAATAGAAGGGAATACAGACAGACAGACAGGTATGCCAGAAATGGTTTTATTAACTTTGTGAACACATGAAGGGCACAATTTACCCTAAACGGTATAGCATTGTATTGAAAGAGCTGTCCCTTGAATATGAATCTGACTAATGGGTACCGCAATCTCTGCAAATCCAGATTCTTGAAGAAACTATCTTTACGGAGAAGTCTGAGCCCAGTTGAGGTAAGGAATCAAACGTGTCGACCCATTTTGGATAGGCGTTGATTTTTAGTTAGCTTAACTTTTTTACTACAACTAAGCACTTAAGAGACTGCCGAACGTCGGTAGCTCATAGATGGACTAATGAGATTCGGCTACGGCAGTGCTGAACCAGTCGCCATGTGAATGGCAAGTGACCCCTCGAATCCAACTCAGAACATTAGCGCCACTCCTAAAGCTCTGCCATTGATGATGAATACTCATCAATCTCCCTGCTGATCTACGTAGCTCATCTGCAGTAATAGGTGGTGCCTAATATTGTCAGTACGTTGTCTTGCCTTTTGGCCTTCAGTTGCTGCTCGCTCATATTTATCTGATTTCTATTTAGAATTGACTTGCTTGGTCAGACATACACCGAAGAGCAAGTTATCAATGGAAGCCTCTGTTAGAGTACTTCTGAGTTCTTTGCTTAAATGTGATTATCTGCCAGCATGTGCCCCTCCCCCTTTTTTGAACCTAGAGGGGAGAGTATTGCCAGTTGCAGTCACTTTAGGTGACTAGAATGGAACAGAATTTTTCTATCGTCATAAACAAGACCTACCCTCGAAATGTTAGCTTTGGAAGAATGCGCGAACATTAATTATACTAAGGTCGCCGCATCATCGTGGTGATGTGTCATCTATTGAAACAGAATACACGGCCTTTAAGACATCACAATCCAGAGCGCCCCACTGTTCGAGTGCCACTAACGTTAATCGGGTATAATGGTACGTAATTCCCGTTATTACTGAAGTGCGTTGGTGGTTTCCTAACCGGTCATATTCATATGTACAGTCCAGTTCCATAGTTTTCACCAACCAGATGGAACATGCTATCACAACCAAAATGTAACGCTATTCTACCATAGATGTTCCTAATTTCTATGTGTTATCAATGAAAAATGGTACTTCGGTGGTTTGGTAACGTGTCATGTACATATTATTGACCTGTTCGATGGCTATCCCAAACCATATGGAATTTGCTAACACAAGCAAAATGTAACACTAACCCGTCTGACATGTTAACTGTTTGGCACGAGAACAAGAAATGAGTGTTTATAGCCTGTCAGAGAGGAGGAAGAGGTAGGGGGGTGCGGTGCCGCATTCCTTCGCTGCGTGCGCGCTTTGAACTCGTGGGCTTGATACGATACGAGGGTACTACAAGTTGTATTTACTTCGATGAGACAGGAACATAACTACGAACTTTGAATATCTAAGTTATATTTTATATTGTAACGCCTTCGTAACTGGGACCTTCAGTAATGAGAAAATGCCTCCGTAGTATCGATGCTTAGGCAACCAGAACTACACGACCATGTACGTATACTTGTAATATTAGTGGCCTTATTTTTTAGTTAGATCTCGTTCTGTCATGTTTGAACAAAATTGTTGTTTTCAGAAATTGTGAATGTGAAGCTTATTCCAAATCGTCCGACATCAAAACCACACACAATACACTAAGGGACGTATCGTCAGTCGTTCCTACAATTGTAGGATCACTTTATGGCCTTCTTGATTGTCAGTCTTTTCTCTCCTCCAGAAAGGCTGGGATATTTCTAGATTTCCTTCTTTTTGAAATGAAAATTTCAGATGATATAAACCTAAAGGATGAACAGTTTGATGCATATAGGCATTTGTAACATAACCTCAAAATAGAGTAGAAAACTGTGAAAATCAAGGAGGTCATAAAGGTGTCCTATAGTTCTTGGAACGAATGAC